GGGAGAACATACTTCTGGGGACTTGGTTTTGCCCTATAAATTTTCGGGCGCCATGGATGCGGTCGCTCAAGGGGCTACTGATGGCATGAAGCTGTTCCTCAGTATTATCGCAATGGTGGTGGTTGCTCTTGCTTTGGTTGCTTTGGCAGACATGATTTTAGATGTCGCGATCCCAACTTTTGGTGGGGAAGCGGTCACTTTAAAAAAGGTATTTGGGTGCATCATGGCCCCCATTGCTTGGCTGATGGGAATCCCTTGGTCTGAAGCCACAGTTGCAGGGGGGATCTTAGGAACAAAAACAGCCTTGAATGAATTGGTTGCTTTTATTACTTTGGCAAACACTCCACAAGAAAACCTTTCAGATCATTCGAATGTGATTATGACGTACGCTTTGTGTGGTTTTGCAAACCTTTCTTCCATTGGTATTCAAATTGGAGGTATTGGTGCTATGGTGCCAGAACGGCGTACAGAAATTATTTCCCTTGGTGTGAAGGCTTTGATCGCTGGGACGCTGGCCAGTTGTATGAGCGGTACTTTGGCTGGCCTTCTATGGTGGTGGAATTAATCGTACTTCAAAGTTTCAGCTTTGCCGTGGAAGATGCGGTAGGCAAAAAACGTATAGCCGATTAGGAAAGGAAGGACACCTACAGTTCCCCATAGGATAATCTTTAAAGATTCAGGGGCGCTGGCGGCTTCTATAATTGTGATTTTTTCAGGGACAATATAAGGTAAAAAGCTGTACGCAAGGCCTATAAAAGATAGAAAGAATAAAAATACAGAGCAGGCAAAAGGTCCCCAACAGTAGTGATCTTTTTTAAAAGGCATCTTGCTGAGCATGGTATACATGAAAATAAAGGTCACCCCTGTGAGAAGAGGAATTGGTGCAAGATAGAAAAATGCTGGTAAAGAGAACCATTTATTGAAGATGTGTTTGCTTGCTAAGGGCGTGCTTAAAGAAATAAAAAGGACCGCCCAAGCACCGCCAACAAGGGCGATCTTCGTTTTTTCTATAGACCATTTTTGAAGGTCTCCGGTTGTTTTCATAATCAACCAACAACTTCCGATAAGGCAGTAGCCAAAAACGAGACCTATACCACTGAAAATGCAAAAAACAATGCTAAAAAATCCTTCTTTGAACCCTAAGATATAGTCTCCTAACATGTACCCTTGTGCGAAGGCCGTTAAGAAAGATCCTCAAAAAAACGCTTGATTCTAAAAGTGTTTTTTCTCGAAGGGCACT